CGGCGCCTCCAAGCGCCGGTGGTGCCCGTGCATCGAGCGAGGATGGGGCCCGGCGGCGGGGCCGAAGCCGGGCATCGTATACGCCCCCTTTCCTTTAGCGTTACCCCGTCCGCCCGACCAGAGATTACACTACCTACGGGTGGCAGGTGTAAGGCAAAGAGACGGTGAGGGGGACAGTGAGGGGAGTGACCAGCTCAGGGGGGGGAACCAGCGAGCTCGAACCAGCGCTGCTCTGCCAACAGATCGGCGATGGGCCCCCGATGGTAAGGCCTCACGCTCCTGGGCAGGGTGGGCCATCGGGCCCCTGTCGGCGATGAATGGGCGAGTGGGGCTCGAGGTCCCCCCGTGACCCAGCCGCCCCATGTTTGGCCGGTGGCCGTTCGCGACCATCCGGGCACCCCTGGGACGCTCCCGGCGAGGCGCAGCTTCTGAAAGGCACCCCGAGGCTGGAAAACCGCTGGGAACCAACGAAAAAGTCCAAAAACCTGCCCCTGGAAGCCTTTCCCTAACCCAGACGCGCGATGTCTTGTCTTTTCAATGCGCGGTCCCTGGAAGACCCGACCCTTTCCCCAGGACCGGTTTTGCATGCCGAGTAGTTTTTTTGACGGCCCCGAAGCTTGGCAAGGGCCTCTGGAGGCCGAAGATTGCCAGGCAACTCCCGTCATGATCTTTCCACTGCTCGAGGGGGCCTGGCAGCAGAGCTCAGAACCGAATCGACAAGTCGAATCGGCGATCGAAATGAATCGGATCGGGGGACATCGACAGCCAAGTCGGGAGAAGTCGAATGGGCGGAAATCGGCAGGCTGGTAGGCCTCCACCGAGAGAAAGGAATCCAAATGGGAATCCGAAGTCGAATCGAACCGAACCTGGGGGCCATCGACATCGCATCGACTCGGCGGAGTCCAAAGGAGCCCTGCCCCCGAGAGCGCGAGGGGGGGGGGGGGGGGCAGCGGGCTGCACCGCCCGGCCGGGGGGGGAGAGGCCCCGCAAGCCCGCTCAGGCAAAGGTCTCGGCGTCGCTGAGGCTCACCTGTCTCGGCGCCAGGGGGGCGCGGCGGCTCGACGGCGGGGCCGCGCGGGGAGGGGCCGCAGAGGTGGAGGCCTCCTCCTCCTCCTCCTCCTCCTCCTCCTCCTCCTCCTCCTCCTCCTCCTCCTCTCCTTCTCTCCTCCTCCTCCTCCTCCTCCTCCTCCTCCTCTCCTTCTCTCCTCCTCTGGAGGGGGTCCGAAGAGGTGGGGTCAGAGGCTCGCGGATCGCGCCGCACATCGCCGGTGCATCGGCGACGTGGGCGGTGCATCGGCGACGCGGCGCGATCCTCGGACCCCATCTACTCTGACCCCATCTGGGGAGCCCAGGAACAAAAAGGAGTGGAGGGGGCCCAGACGCGCTCTCGTCGTAAGAAACTCCAGGCGGGAAGTTCTTTTGGGGGGGCCTCGGGGGCATGTTCGGGCCCATGCCCCCTCGCGCCGTGAACGACACGTTTTTCCTTGTCTTCGGTTTCCAGGCGGCGAGGGCCCCGCGGCCGTCGAAACACGTCTCACCACGAGAAGCCGGCCCTGGGGAGAGGATCTGGGCTGCGGACCGCGCGCTGGAAGCAAACAAACACGTCGCATGTCTGGGGGGAGGAGGGGAGGGGGCGAGGGGGGGGAGCGGAGGAAAACGAGGGGGGAGAGGGGGAGAGGGGGGCGAGGATCGAAAGGGAGGGGGCGAGGATCGATGGGGGAGACGGAAGGTAAGTGGGGAGGGCAAGCTCGGTGCGGTAGCGTCAGATCTGACGCCCAATCTTTGATATCCTCTCTATTCGCACCGTCGGATGTCGAGCAAGGCAATGGTCGCGAGGGCGTATGCGATGCATGGTAAAACACGGCATGGTATGGCTTAGAAGGGCAGTGCAGTGCGTAGCATGCCATAGCATGGTGGGGCACTGCGCAATGAAGCATTGCATCACGCAGCATTGCAACGCCAGACATGGCATCCCACAGCGCCGAAAAACACAACGCCGCACAGCATGTCACGTCATGGCGCCGGGTTCCTTTGAGGGTAAGTAGGTCATCTTCGAGAGGTCTGGGTCGGTCTGGAATCGTGGCTCCATGTCTAGATCCTTGGGACCCCCGAACAACTCCACACAAAGCGGGGCTGATGGAGAGCACCCGCTGGCTCTGCTTACAACATCGCGTTCTCACAACAGGAACGGGGCTCCCGCTTGGCACTTCCTGAAAACGCCGACGCCCCCAAATGGGGGTGGGGCGTCTGCGGCCCCACTAATCAAGAAATCGGCACCGAATGTATAATCACTTCCAATGGTTTTCTTCGGTGGGTTATTTTCTACATGTCGGGGCCTATTCGGAAGGGCCAAGATCGCCCGCGCTGCAGCGGGAACACGATTTGGAACAACCAGAGGCGCAGAAATGGGGCCAGCGTTTCAGCGGGAGCAACATTTTGAAACAACACCCAAACGAAAACCCAATTCCTGGGAATCCAATGTGTAAAGAAAAACCATACGCGGAGGGGGGCCGAATATCTTGTGGACGTCATCGGGGGAGAGAGGGGAGTATTCATATTGTGTGATTGCGGAGTGGGAGAGGGGAAGGGAAAGGGGGGGGCGAGGATCGAGGGGGAGGGGGAGGGAAGGGGGAGGGGGAGGGGGAGGGCAAGCTCGGTGCGCTCGCGTCAGATCTGACGTCCTACCCTTCGCTCCCATCCCTTACTGTGACGTAGATATTCTCTCTATTAGCAGTCGGATGTCGAGCAGAGCGATGATCGCGAGAGGGTGCGCGATGCATGGTAGAGCACGGCGGAGCAGGGCGTAGAAGAACGCGGCAGAGCGTATAATGTCATAGCATGGCGTGGCATCCCGTAGTGAAGCATTGCATCACAAAACGTTGCAACGCAAAGCATGGCATCGCACAACGGCGCAGAACAAAACATCGCACAACATGTCATGGCATGGCGCCGGCTTCTTTTTGAGGATAAGTGGATCGTCTTCGAAAGGTCTGGGCCGGTCTGGAATCGCGGCTCCATGTTTAGCTCCTTGGGATCCCCGAAAAGCACCCGCTGGCTCTGCTTGCAACATCTCCTTCTCAAAAAGAAACGGAGCTCCCGCTTAATACTTCCTCCGAGCGACGCCGCCCCGAAGCCGGGGGGACCGTCTGCGGCACAAAAACTGAACGAATCGGCACCGGATGTGTAATCACTTGCGATTTTTTTGTCTGGGGGTCGTTTTCTGGATGAGGGGCCTACTTGGAAGGACCGAAACTGCCAGCGCTTCAGCGGGAGCGTAGCATGGCATAGCATGGCGTGGCACTGCGCAGTCAATCACTGAATATATCCTAGAATTGCAGCTGAAGGCATGGCATCGCACAGCGGAACACTACATAGCATTGCCGTGGCATGGCACTGGAAATAATGACACCAACGCTGCAGTGGGAGCACGATTTGGAACGAGCGGAAGCGCGGAAATGAGGCAAGCGCATCAGCGGGGGCAACACTTTGAAAACACCCAAGCGAAAACCCAACTCCAGGGAATCCGATGTAAAAAATACGCGGAGGGGGGCCGGGCATCATCCGGACGTCATCAGGGGAGAGAGGAGAATACTATTCATATTGTGTAGCAGAGGGGAGGCGGGGGGGGGCGAGGATCGAGGGGCAGGGGAAAGGGGATGGGGGGGAGGAGGAGAAGGGAGGGGTGGGGCGAGGATCGAGGGGGAGGGAGAGAGCATGGGAAGGGAGACGGGGAGAGGGGTCGATGGGGGAAGGGTGCAGAATGTGGCAGATCGTGTTGTCGCTCCCTGTCCTGCTTGCTGCACCAAGAGGCCGACATTCCCCATCTCCTTCCTCCTCCTCCTCCTCCTCCTCCTCCTCCTCCTCCTCCCTCTCTTCCTCATCATCCTCCTCCTCCTCCTCCTTCCTCATCAACGAAAAACTACAATCACTTCATCCTTCTCCGCCTCCTCCTCGCCCAATCCCCCTCCTCCTCCTCCTCCTCCCCCTCCACCTCCTCCTCCTCCTTCTCCTCCTTCCTCCTCCCCTCCTCCTCCTCCTCCTCCTCCTCCTCCTCCTCCTCCTCCATCCTCCTCCTCCTCCTCCTACCTCCTCCTCCTCCTCCCCTCGTCCCCCTCCTCCCCTCCTCCTCCTCCTCCTCCTTCCTCCTCCTTCCCATCCCCTCCTCCTTCCCCTCCTCCTCCCTTCTCTTTCTCCCCCTCCTCCTCCTCCTCCTCCTCCTCCCTCCTCTTCCTCCTCCTCCTCCTGCTCCTCCTCTCTCCTCCCTCCTCCGCCTCCTCCTCCTCCTCTGCCTCTTCCTCCTCCTCCTCCTCCTCCTCATCCTCCTCCCTCTCATCCTCGCCTGCACCATGCAGTCCCCACTGGACAGGGCCCCCCCACCTGAACCGTGGCATTGCGAGTTAGGGCTCTGACAACCCCACCCGGAGAGGCCAGCTCATGGAGAATCTGCTGGCCAACGGCTGCAGTTCTTCTCGGGCGCGCTGCTGTCCTGGCCCACCAGTGCTCAACACTCTGTGGTCCACCACGCCCTCCCCGCCCCAGGCAGACTCCACCGCCCATGGCCCGCCCCAGTCAGGCTCCACCGCCCAGGGCCACGTGCAGCATACACAACAGCCGCTCCCCAGGAAGGACATCTGGCTAACCCGAACCCACAGCTAGGACCCTCGCCCTAGTCCCCCCCCCCTGGATTTTGGGTACAGCACAGTCAGCCCGTACCATCAGGACGCGTGAGAAAGCTGCAGGGGCCCTGGAAGGCCAGGTCGACGTTTTTCGAACGGGGCTGGCCAGCGAAAGGTGCCAGAGATGGGCCGAAGGGGCAGGGATGCAAAAGGGTACCCTTGGGAAGTCTGGCCCATCCGGACTCCGCGGGCTGACAGTATCTGCGCTTCTCGGGCGGTGCCAGAGTCCCAAAGTCCCCGCTCAGGTGGCCCTGAGCTGGAGCAAAGACCCGAACACCAGACCGCCAAGAAAACCGGCGGGCAGCTGCCGGGTGCGGGCCTCCTTCAGCGTGTCGGGGTCGCCGTAGATCTCCCCCGAGGGGACGTACGGCGGGCGAGCTTCGCGGCTGAGGATCCTGCCGCGCGTCGGCCGCCCCCCGGCCAGGCGCTCCTAGGTCACCAAACTTCGCGCGTCACGCCCCACGCACGACGCGCGATCGTCTTCGCGTCCTCGCACCTTCCAGACCTCCAACGTCTCGAGGTTATCAATGAATCATGTTTGCGCCGTGTTTGGCCTAATGGGAGCCCTTGTTGGGCCTCGGGGCCGTTATGAACGACTGGAAAGTAAAAACCGGTCCGAGGGAAGGGGTCGAGACCTCCAGGGTTCCAAGTTTAGGAAAACAACGCGACGTCGGGGGGCCTGGGCCCGAGGAGAAGGGCAACTATCCAGTCCAGACCGCGACGCGCGATCATCTTCGCTCCCCCGCGGGTGACCTGATGACATGCGCGCGGGGCTCTCACCAGCCCTCTGAGTGTGAGTGGGTGGCTTGAGGAGCTTGCTCTCCCAACCTTCTTCCTCCCCTTCGCGTTGGAGGGGGGGGGAAAGGCTACGTATGCCCCTCTGCCCCCGAACCTGGGTCTGGACTTCCCGTCTTCCGGCAACTGCACAGGCATCGTCTCTGGATGGGCTGGTGGGGAGCGCGAGGCGTCCAGAGTAGATGCCAGGCGGTAAAACATACTCCGATCCATCGGTCGGGAGAAGTAGGTGGAAGCATGAAGTAGCAAGGCGTTGGATGCAGATTGGGTCTCCGCCCGCCCCCTGAGGAGGACGGAAAAGATGAAGCCACTCGACCTTTGAGGTGGGAAGGCGCTCAAAGTACATTGGAATATGGGAATCCAAGAATACCGACTTTCAACGACCGATGGGAAAGCCTTTGGGATGGGACCTAAGGCAGGATGGCCAACAACATTAGGAGTAGGGGGGATTGTTTCGCGGATGTGTCAGGCGAAGCCCACCCGTCTGTGCAGGGGCACCCCTACTGAAACGAATTTGCCTAAACTAAGCCACGAGCTCAGTGTGCTATCAAGGTTAGAAAGAAAGTGAGGGGCGGTGTCATGCTTGATGAGAACGCGCTCGACGTCGGCGGCGCTCTGAGCGGCAAAGGCGGGTCACACGAGGCTTCAGGGCCCAATCCATGGCACCCAAGCGGGGCCGAGAGCGACGTGCTGACCCAGCACGCCGACCACGACATTCCCACAACGTGGTAGAACCCGGCAGCTCGTTTCGATCAGCGCTGGCAAGCGAATCTTCATTACGCGGGCCACCGGCTTGGCCCGCTACATTGGAAGCGAGGGCGCTTACGCGCGACCTTGCGCGGGCAGCTTACACGCGAATATCAACACAGACGACCCCGTTTTTGGGCGTCGCCCAAGTGGTGAAGGGAGGGGACGGGGCAGAAGGCAGAGCACGGACGCCAGTCTCGCGCACACCGATCGAGTGGCGAGCAACCTTCGGCGGAGGATGAACAGATTCAGGATCGGATGCAGAGTAATCCTTCTGGGCGATGTATGCATTCACTGGGCAGCTCAACATTTGGCCTCACGTCAACCCAGCGCCTGAGGGCGAACACCCAGATATCTAAATCAGTTTCTGTCTGTCTGTATCTGTATATCGATTTGATCCAGGGCTACCCCCTCCAATGCTGATGGGATCGGTTCCCCCCCCCCCGCTGGCTGGGTACGCCACTGAGCCACGCAAAGGCCTCACGAATTGGATCGCTCCCCCTCCCCCTTGTGGTCGTGGCGTGGCGGGGAGGGGGTGCCGGTGTCCCCGCCCTTTCCCCTTTTCCCCTGTGGGTGTGGGGAGGTGCTGCGGTGCCGCCGTCGTCGTCGTCGTCGTCGTCGTCGTCGTCGTCGTCGTCGTCGTCGTCGTCGTCGTCGTCGTCGTCGTCATGGTCGTCGTCGTCGTCGTCGTCGTCCCTCTCCCATCCCATCTTGGAGAAGGGTCTGTGGAACCCTGGGGCCCATCCCACCTGGGGGAGGGGCTGGGAACCCTCGGCCCAAGACTATAGATGGTTCCTGGCCTATTCGGGGACCCGTGCTAAATGCACAATCGTTTTGCGGAGGTCCTGCGACCCGTTGCTGTTTCGTCAATTGGTTCTTGTGCGTTGATGGGAGTGCATGACAAGTGTCCACCGGTACACACGTTTTTGCTTGCTTACTACAGGGTCCCGTAGCGCGAGAATTCTTATTACAGGCGTCCTTATGAAGGAATCCACACTACAGGGATCCTTACCAAAGGGCCCTTCGACACTGGCATCCTTACTAGAAAACCCCGTTGAAGCGAAGAAACAAGTAACATATTGTCATAGTTGTAGTCAAGTGCCCTTTTCCTCCACCCACCAGAAGGAACTTCCAGCAAGGATGCCTTGACCGACTGGCCCTTTTAGTAAGGATCCCTGTAGCACGTAATCCTTGACACGGATGCATATGATACGGATTCTCTGAACAAGGGCCCCTGTAATGAGCTGTCCTTGTAAGAATCCATCAGTGAAGAACCGTTTGCAAAGATGCCTTTCATACGGATGTGTTGGTTGAGGATGCCGCTCGTACAGGTCTCTTAGTAAGGATCTCGTTGAGACGGGATCTTGAAGTAATCCTTCGTATTGTATAGGGTACATGCAATAAGGATTCCTCCGTAGAGTTGCCTTTAGTCTGAGATCTCCGTAAGGGTTTCATTGGTAAGGGGACATGGGTGAGAACCCTTTATCGCAATGGAACCTTAATTAATGTAGCCTTTGTTACGGAATCCTGCGCAAAAATCCGTTTGGTGAACGTTCCTGGGTAAGGATGTCTGTAATACGGACTCTCTCGGTAAGGACCCGTGTAGGAAGGATTCCTCTGTAAACCTTTTCATGTACTAAGCATTCCCCAGCAAGGGTGTCCGATCGAATATTCCTGTAGCATTGGTCCTTCCTAGGATCTCGTTCGTAAGCGTTCATCAGTCAAGACTCATTCCGTGAGGAACCCTTACTAAGGACCCCTTTTCGTGAGGCGTCCATACTCAAAATAATCCCTGCAGAAACGAGTCCGTGATAGGGATGGCGATTGAAACAAAGTCATCTTTCATAAGGCTTGCTTTAATACGGATTCTTTGGTAAGGAGGCTTGCTGTACGGATCCATTCGAAAGGGTGCTGAACACAAAAACCTCAGCAAGGGTACCTTTCGGAATGGATCCTTCGTAAGGATGCCCTCAGCAAGGCATCTTGATTTTAACACCCAACTTTTAAGGAGCCGTTTCTGGGGATCTCTTTAGTAAAATCAAGAACCCCTTTAACAAAAGGGTCATTCGTAAGGGTGCCCTCCGTCTGGATTTCTTGGTACGAGTGCCTTTCTATGAAGGGTTCCTTGGTAACGAAGCCGTTGGTCAGAATTCCTCGGTAGTGATGCCTTTAGCAAACGTTCCCAATAAGAATGCCTTCAGTACGGACTCCCCCAGTAATGGTTCGTTTAAGAAGGATATCTTCGCAAATTTGCCTTCAGTACTGGCTCGGGTCAGTCTGGCAATTTCTCGAAGGGAGTAATTGAGTAAAGCTTCCTTCATACTGATGCCGTGAGCATGGATAATTCGTGACTGATTCTTTTGGTGGAAATCCCTGGGTATGTACCCATGTGTTAAGGAATCCGTAATCCGGAGCCTTTTTTGATACGGAGTCCCTGGTAGGCGCGTCTATAGGAAGCGGTTCCCTCGGTAAAGACCCCTATATGAAGGACTCCTTCGTAAGGGAGGCTCCCGCAGAAAGGATGCCTTACCGAGGACTCCTGGCATGAGGGATCCCTCATACAGACTCATCTTGCTGAGCGTTCATGTGGTGTGTGAGGTTGATGTGGAGGTTTTCATTGACAGGGATGCATGGTGTGGGGGGATGGGGGTAGGGAGGGGGGGATGGGGGGAGGGTGGAGGCGGTGGGGGGGGGGATGGGGGGGATGTGGTTGAGTAGGTGGTGATGGTGTGGCGGGTCTTGGGTGAGGGGGTTGCTAGAGGGGGGTGGATGATGGGGGTGGGGGAGATGGTGATGGTGCTGGTGGGGGGAAGGTGTGGAATGTGGGGGTAGGGAATGGGATGGGTGGAGGGAATGGCAATGAGTGGATGAAGCATGTGTGGGATAGGTTTCATTGCTTGCTGAGCGTTCATGAGAAAAAACCTGTGAGTGGGGAATCCGTGTTACGGATCCTTGTTTCCCGTACGGCGCCCGTAGTCAAGAGGGATTCCTGTAACAGTGGGCCCCGGAGTATGCCTTCGCTGTAGGGGGTCATTAGTAAGCCCCCCACACACCTGTAAGAATTCCTTCGTACGGGCGCTTGCCATACGGATTCCTTAGTACTGATGGCTGCTTCAGAAAAGAATTCTTGGCAAGGGCGCCACCCGAGAGGGGCCTTGAGTAAGGACCCATTCGATGAGGAATCCTGAGCAACCACACAACGTGTGGGGAATCCTTGTGCCGATACTTTTTCAGTAAGGGTCTTAACAAAGATCCCTTGTGCAAGTGGGGTCCTTACTAAGGATGCGTTGTGATACGGATGTGAGGTAAGGACGCCTTTACTAAGCAATCCCCCGTGAGGATGCCTTCAGTACGGGCTCCTTCAGGAAGAGCCCCTGTAGAAGAAAGATACCTGAATAATGTGTGAGGATGCCTTCGGTAAACGATCCTCACCTTTGCTTATCATAATCATTTTCCTTCAGTAAAAGGCTCCTCTAGTAAAGGATCGTAGAGACGACTCCATGTGGGACACGTTCTTGCAATATGCTTACTCGGGAGACCGTTCGTGACGCCGTGGTCATTTATAGGTCGCGAGGTTTTTTACTTCACGGCGCACTAGGCTACTAGTCGTGAGCACTACCTTTCGGTTGGGTGTGCCACCAGCGGTTGACTGTGAAATCATGCGATCCCACTGGCAGAAAAGGAACACCACGAATGAACCGCGACCACCATCGACATTTTGTGAAGCGAAACCGCCGCATCAATTCTAGCAGGGGTCCCCGCATAGGCCAGCGCCCATCTATATAAAGAGATGTGGATGTGTATATAACCGCATGCCGCGGATAAGAAAGGCGACCCCCCTTCTACCCCTCTACCCGATTATCCACGGAACGTATGTCGGTTCAAATTATCACAAGGGGCGCGGGGGCGAATTTCATGACCCCAAGGTTCACATCGCCGCTCTGATCTTCATATCATGCACAGCACCATGAGTAATTCGACAGGACGAGTAGAACACCGCCCAGATCTCTTTACTATTACGTAACACCCCGCAGTTGTGGAAAAGAGTGAGGGGGCGGCGGTGGCGTCGGCAGTCTGCGAGGCTCTGAAGAAGCCCGCCGCAGGCGCCAAATTTTCAAGCTATACAGCGGGCCCGCCGTATGCGCCAATTTGTTCTGTTAAAGCAATGTGGGTGGGTCGCAAATGGGTCGCGGGTGGGTCGCGGGCCGGGTCGCGGGTGGGTCGCGGGTGGGTCGCGTGTAGGTCGCGGGTGAGTCGCGGGTGGGTCGCGGGGTGGGTCGCGGGTGAATTGCGGGTGGGTCGCGGGTTGGGTCGTAAGTGGGTCAAGGGGTAGGTCGCGGGTGGGTCGCGGGCCGTGTCGCGGGGGGGCGCACCAAACAATAACAAAAAACAACAAACACAAACAAGTCAAACAAACAAACAAACACACAAACAAACAACACAACAACAACACCACCAACAATAACGTCAACATCAACATCAACAACAACAACAACAACAACAACAACAACAACAACAACTACAACAACAACAACAATAATCCACATCGCGGAATCCCACTTTAGCCACGCACACAGGAACAGTCAATGACCGTTCGGCCTCCTCACTCTGAACAATAAAATTCGATAGGCTCGAAACTTTGATTGCTCTTGAAATCTCCTCCTCCTCTTTCTCCTTCTCCTCTTCCCTCTCCTCGTCCTTTTCGCCGTCTTCTGTGACTGCACTCCTCCCCTCCTTCCTCCCTCTGTGCCCCGTCCAAACTTTTTGATCACCACCTTTTACCATCAGCTAACAGCAACCATGAGTATCCCACACGAGGAGTAGGAAACCATCACGGATTCTTCAGTTTTACACCTAGAATTCGTTAGGCCCAAACGTTTGAATGTTCTGGAAATGTCCTCCGTCTCCTTCTCCTTCTCCTCCTCCCTCTACTCGCCCTCTTCCTCCTCTTCTGTGACTGCTGCTCCTCCTGCCTCTACTCCTTCTCTTCTCTGTCTCTTCCTCCTCCCCCTCCTCCTCCTCCCCCTCCTCCTCCTCCTCCTCCTCCTCATTCCTCCCTCCGCGCCACGGTCGAACTTTTTAAGCGCCGTTTTATACCAGCAGCAAACAGCAACCCTCCTCCTTCCTCCACACGTTCCTCCCCCTCCATCTCCTCTGATCAGCTTGGAGGTCATATACAGTCGGCAAACAGCAACCCTCCTCCTCCCTCCTCATACTCCTCCCATCCTCCTCATACTCCTCCCCCTCCCTCACTCTCCCCAGGCTTCTCCAGATCAGCTCGGAGGTCATCCAGGACCCATCCAGACATCCCAACATCGATATCTCCGGGAAAAAGTCATCATCCTCCCAAGACCCCGAACTTTATCATCCCCAGGGTGCGATTCTCACCGGCATAGAGTTCTATGTGCATACACGTACTCTCTCTCATGTGTATATGTACATGGGTACGCATATACATGTACACAGGTGCATTTGTAGACACACACATATATGTCTCTCTCTCTCTCTCTATATATATATATATATACGTAGCACCCCGCAGTTGCGGGTAAGAGTGAGGGGGCGGCGGTGGCGTCGGCAGTATGCGAAGCTCTGAAGAAACCCGCCGCAGGCGCATAATTTTTTCAAGCTATACAGCGGGCCTGCCGTATGCGCCAATTTCTGTTAAAGCAATGTGGGTGGGTCGCAAATGGGTCGCGGGTGGGTCGCGGGTGGGTCGCGGGTGGGTCGCGGGCCGGGTCGCGGGTGGGTCGCGGATGGGTCGCGGATGGGTCGCGGGTAGGTCGCGTGTGAGTCGCGGGCGGGTCGCGGGGTGGGTCGCGGGTGGATCGCGGGTGGGTCGCGGGGTGGGTCGCGGGTGGGTCGCGGAATGAGTCGCGAGTGGGTCGCGGGCCAGGTCGCGGGGGGACGCACCAAACAACAACGCCAACAATCAAACAAACAAACAAACAAACAAACAAACAAACAAACAACAAGAATCCGCATCGCGGAATCCCACTTCAGCCACGCACCCAGGGACAGTCAATGACCGTTCAGCCCCCTCACTCTGATGTATATATATACACAGATATCCACGTTTATAGGTGTGTGTACAACGATATGGCTATATACGCACTTATGCGGGCGATCATGGAAACCTCATCCTTGAACTGCCTCCCACCCCACGCGGTGAATCTCCCATATCCCCCACACGCGGTTAGAAGTACCATCCAAGTACGTACGTGGCTTCATCTTTTCAATTGCCATATCCCCCCACCCCGGGAACAGCTGCAACCCAGAGAGCAATATCACCCACCGCTGCTGCCACCGAAAAGTCCTCGTGCAAGCGCGTGCGGCGACCGAGCTCATTGAGCACTCACAACGCCGACCCCACGCAGACACCATATTTTCTCAATCGGGTACCTTCTGCCAACTGCAGGGGCGCTGAGACTCATCTCACCTCCTGCTAGCCGTGCCGAGTGGCAGGCAAGGGACTGGTCAGTGCAAGGGGGACGCCAGAAAACTGAAGAGGACATGGCCTAGGGGCTGAGCCTTCGATCCCAATGGTCCTGTCGAACAATGAGCCCTCGCCGTCGGCGACGGAGAAAAAGTCGTGGGTCTTGATGGCCTGATGACAGCCGTGACAGCTCATTCCGCCTACCTGTGCGTCTACATCGTAGGTTAATATGTCGCATGTGAATCAGCAGTAGCTCTGCCTCCATGTATGAACGTGTGTCATGCGCCCTCGTGGCGCACCTCTTCAAGACAGAACATAACCCATCGACCCACTACTTGTGATGCATGCTGTGCGGAGCAACTTCTACCCCTTTGAGACGCCACCATAAGCCCCACACCCTGCTTGCAGGAGGGTTCGACTCGGGCATACGATAGTATGGACTAGGGATCCGTGGATCTGGCGCGTGGGCGCCAGATCCACGGATCGGGGAGGGTCCCCTACCCGAGAAACACGAGGCCAGTGCTGCCTGATCAGGGCGACGGAGCGCGCCGGCTTCGTATGGCAGCGGGTCGGTCACCAACCCGCGCGCCTGGATGCGTGCTTGGGCTTCCTCGACAGAAGGCTTCCTCGGGATGGTTGGCTTCCTCGATAGAAGGGTTCCTCGATAGAAGGCTTCCGTGTTTGGGCTTCCTCGAGATGGTTGGCCGACCCCTCCCCCCTGAACCTGAAGGGGGGGGGCGCGTCCACCCACCCGAGGGGCCCGCGGGCTCCTCCCAGCATGACCCACGGCCAAGCGTGGCACCAGGCAGCTACCACACGGCCCAACCAAGAATTGGCAGCAGACTGATACCATTATTGGCGATCACATGCTTGGCGTTTCACACGCGTCGGGCCGACCCTGGCCCAAACAATTCCAACTTGGACGAAAAGCGTTGGCCATGCGTGGTCAATGCCCTCTTCACTACTCTTCGCCTCCGGTCCTCATCCTGGCAATCATCTTGCTCGTCCACTTCCTCCTCCTTGTCTTCTTCCCCATCGACCTCCTCCTCCTCTTCCTCTTCCTTCTCCTCGTCCGTCTTCACATCCCCCTCCTCCTACTCCTCCTACTCTTGCTCCTCTTTCTCCTCGCCGTCCTCCTCCTACTCCACCTCCTTCCTCTCATCCCCTGTTGACGAGACAAGACGTTTTTGTCCGTTCGAGGCTCATCACCTCCCTGCGACTCATATTGTACCCTGCACTCCTCATGTGTCATGCTGCTGATCTTTCTGTCGCCCCTCCTACTCCTACTCCTCCTCCTCCTCCTCCTCCTCCTCCTCCGCCTTTCCCCCTTGGGGGCACCAACGCAACCCACGACGTTTTCAATAAGCCACTCTCCCCAAGATCGGCGGAACGGTGCAAGCATCCCTGATGCGTACTGTCCTCCGTTGGGAGATCCGCCACCGACCCTGCAGAGGTGGGCTCGAAAATGGGCCGCTCCCACCCTCTTTGAGGGGTACCGTTCGGGAGGGCTCGCCCATGGAGGGGAAACATCGACCTGAAGTCGGCGACACATCGCCGATAGATCGGCGATATCCCCCCGAAGGCGGGGCGGGCTATCCCCGATCGGCGATCAATGGGCGATTGGGGGTCGACGCATCCCCCACTGAGCCTGCCCCCCACTACCGCTGCCCCTGAAGGACCACCCCAGGATCTCGCGCGGGTGGCCACACGAGCCCGTCAGAAGGCCGACGAAGCCGAGAAGGAGAGAGGAGAGGGCGCAGACCCATGACAGCCCGGCCACGTGGGCCAGGCTCGCAGCATGGCCTTTTGAGGGGCAACGCTAAGGGTGGACGGGCTCGGGGCAGGAGAGCTCAGAATCGAATCGATAAGTCGAATCGGCGATCGAAATTAGTCGGATCGGCAGAAATCGGCAGCCAAGTCGGAAGGAATCGAATCGGCTGAAATCGGCAGGCTTGTACGCATCCAGTGAGAAATCGGAACCCAAATCGGAATCCCAAGTCGAATCGAATCGGAATCGGAATCCATCGAAATCGAATCGAATCGAATCGGGGCAATCGAAATGAGCCCTGTCGGGGGGGGGGGAAGCACCGAGGCGGACTCGACGATACACCGCCGACAGATCGCCGACGTGAGCCCCATAGCGAAACACCACGGTCCTGGGCAAGGAGGCGGGACGGACTACCGGGCTCCCGATCGGCGATGAAAAGGGCGATGGGGGGCCGATGCGCCATGACGCTGCCCCTTGAGCCCAAGGGGGCTCCCCAAAGGCCATGCCTCTTGGGGGCTCGAGCCACGTCTTGAAACACCCCCTGGCCCACTTGGGGCCATCATGTGGCCTTGAGAGCTCATCGAAAACCAGAGAATCTCACCCAAACGGCGTCATCCCAAGGTTGGAAGGTCCCTGGCCTCGCGGCGCCAGCCTGGGGAGGCTCCGTGGCCGCGTCGGGTCGTCTCGTGGCGGTCTAGAAGCCTCTTAGACGCCTCAGCCCCGCCGTGGCCTGCCCTGCCAAGGGCAAGGCGGGGGGGCGTGGCACGTCGGTGCTGTGGCCGAGGGGGGCTGCCTCGCTCTGGCAGCGGTGAGGTCTGCCTCCCACGGGTCTGGACGCCCTTCCCCGCGCGAGGTGGCGAGTGGGGTCCGTGTGGGCCCAATGTGGCTCCAAGATGGCCCCCCCAGATGCCCAAAGATGGCCTCCGAGAAGGAGCACACACAACTCAAGACGGACCAACACGGCGCCCAACATACCCCCACGAGGCCATGCGATATCCCCAAGACTGGTCCAAGTGGTCTCGGAGCCTTCCAACGATACCTACAAGAGGCCCAGATCATCCAATGGTAAATAGCTTTCAACAATTTGAGGATGTTCGTTGATCCTTCAAGATGACGTCATATGGTCAAGAGAGCACCCAGAGATGCCCAGAGAGGCCCGATATTGCTCCAAAAAGGCCTCCAAGGTCAGCCGAAGAGAGCCCGACCAGGGCACCCAGGGATCTTTTTGTTCATCCGAGGTGGAGGGGCCATTATTAAGGTCCCCCCACCAATTGATCGACGGTCTACTGGCATCGGCCAATGACGACCTCAAGAGCTTCAAACAGATCTCCAAGAAATCCCAAGGAGAGACCCGATATCCTCCACAGCTGCCCCAGTAAAACCCTGAGACGGCCACAATAAGAAGACCTTTCACATTGACTCCTGGTTTCTTCTCGCATTTCCGCGGTTTCGAAAAACTCAGGAGTCAACCATAAGGGTGCTTACCAGAGAAGATCTGCAAATGGGAGCGACCATGTGATAGGGCGGTTGAAATCCCCGATTGCGTCACTGAATGCTCCTCCCCTTTTCTGATCAAAGTAACTCGTCTGTGAATCATCGCTGCACGGGCTGGTGTAGGGTCTCGCGAAGCGTCAGGAATTACATATGTGGCCTTTTGTATCCCGTGGCCACTCACGGGGTCCTGCTTGATACAGGCCTCGGACAACAACAAAGCGAACACCCATGCCACATTCATCGGTCAACGCCTCCCCCTCCCCCCAATGTTCAAAGATGGCGGTGGGTCTGATAGGTTGCACTTGGACCGCAGTCTCCCCTATCTGTGTTCCAACCTTGAGTTTGGGGGAGAGGGGGAGTGTCCACTAATTTGTTACCTCTGTTGTAGCTCACTCGTTTGGCCTCACGGCCCTGTCCCCTCCCCCGTGCGTCGCTTTCTGGACGTGCCTGCCAGCAGAGCCTGCCAGCAGAGAGCGAGACTGTTATTTGTCCTGCGCCCTTGACGCGATCTGCTTCCGCTCCACACCCGCCTCAGCTGTTGGGTGTGCGGCAAAGCCAGGTCACGTTGCCGGGCGCAGGAGCTGGCGCGGGAGAGCAGGATCGCCGCCCATCCCTTCAGGGCTAGCTACATGGGGGCAGTCGGCTCGCCCCCCCCCTGTCTGAGGCGGAGCGTGAGCTCTGCGAGGAGCCGTCTCACCTCCCGGGCTTGAACACCTCGTAGATCGGGAAGTTGCCCGGATTAGACCTCTTCGGGTCCGCGTAATAATCCGCGATCGCGGGGATGCTTGCAACCTTCTCCTTGTGCTTAATGATCTCCGGGCAATCGCTGAAGAGCTTCGGCGTGAGACCATCGATGAAGCCAGAGCGTATGGTGCTTAGGAAGCAGAAGTAAGCGAGGTCCGCCACCGTCAGCCCCCTCGCTTCGGGCACCAGAAACCCGTTGCTGCTCTGCTTGAGCATGTTCTCGATCATGCCAATTATGGCGGCAGCGTCACCGCCGGGCCCGAAGAGAGTCTGCCTCGCAATCTCCTTCTGCTCTTTGTCCGTGATCCTGTATGTCGGAGCCAGAAGGACCCACACATCGTCGAATGCGTCCAACACCTCGTCGACCTTGGCAGCCACGAGAGGGTCCTCTGGATAAAGAAGTGCCCATTGTGCCTGATCAGCTTCCCCAAATACCTAAGGATGGCTTTGGTCTGCGCGATCTTCGTCTGCTCGAATACCAGCACTGGCATTTGGCCGTAGGGGGTCCTTTGCTTCTCCGTCGCAATCCACTCGCTACTTGTAATCCTCTGGTCCTCGAATTCGATGCCGCCGATCCTCAGCGCTAAGCGTATGGGCTCGGCCCGCCCTGTGAAGGGAAAATACTTCAAAGTTATCCGGCCCTTTGGCAGCGTGGGCGGCCTCGTGCGAAACAGCCCCTCGAAACAACCGAAACAACCCATTGTGCGCCTGCCTGACGCTGTCGCGCCGGCCGGTCGCATGTGACCAGGGGCCACCCTTCAGCCACCCAATCGGCTACGGACGGGACGCCGCGTGTTGGGAAGAAGCGTCGGTGCACACGCGCGCATCCCCCGGAAGAGGAGGGGGCGGAGGCGGACGGAAGTGACGGGAAAATAGAGAAGAAGAGAGGGGCAGAATGGACGTGGTCAGAAAGAAGGAGAGGAAACGGGAGAGAAGGGGGAAGGACGAGAAGGAGGCAGGGCGCGCTACCTTCACAATGAAATTACCTTTTTTGATATTGAAATTCACCAGCGCGCATCATTCTGATCCCATAACCGGCAATTGAATATCCAAATGCGCTTCCCATATGGATCCCACAGGCCCTATGGGCGTAGGTGGTTGAAGGCGATCCCTCTTCTTACCTTCATCCTTTCCTTTCGGGGAGGGGTTCGTCCATACGGCCGTC